GGGTTCCCAGCGTCTTGTCCCCGCGGCACACAGCACGGTTACATAACCCTCTAGTCAACCTGTACTTAAACCACTGTCCCCACCAGCACCCAAACCGTCCCCAAAGCCCTCTTTCCAATGCAGCGATATGGCCCGAAAATGGCCAAAATCCCCAAATCGCCTCGCTGCGCTCGATGCGGAGCCTAGGCACGGATAATTGGTCCGCGCGCCTTTGCGTCGCATCTCACTCCGCTCGTATAAAGAACCAAAGACAATGTTCACACAACAGCAGTCGCCCAGTTCACCCCCCTATCTGCATTATCCCCACTATCCCCTAGTGTGGCATGCTCACGGCCGGAGCCTGCATTGGAGAAAATAGAACACATTAACAAATGCCCATCCACCCAGCGCCTTCACAAAACAATAGCCCTTTCCTGGCCAAGCATCGGCCGGTACTCTAGCCGAGCACAACAGCAATCCCCCCGCCCCACCCCGACATGATCTTGGAGAAGCAACAGCCGCCCATGCACACCACGAGCCCAGCATCGGTGGCTCTTTCCCGGCCAAGCCGCGGCCGGTACTCCAGCCGAGCAATACAACATTCCCCCCGCCCCACCCCGACACGATCTCGGAGAAGCAACAACCGCCCATGCACACTACGAGCCCAGCAACAGTGGCTCTTTCCCGGCCAAGCCGCGGCCGGTACTCCAGCCGAGCAATACAACATTTCCCCCACCCCACCCCGACACGATCTTGGAGAAGTAGCAGTCGCCCATTTAACCCCCCTACCTGCATTATCCTCTGGTGTGGCAGCCTCACAGCTGGAGCCTGCATTGGAGAAAATAGAGCACGTTAGCAAACGCCCATCCACCCAGCGCCTTCATAAAACAACAACCCTTTTTGGCCAAGCCGTGGCCGGTACTTCAACCGAGCAGAACGCCAATCCCCCCGCCCCACCCCGACACGATCTCGGAGAAGCAGCAGCCACCCATACACACCGCGAGCCCGGCAACAGCGGCTTTTTCCTGGCCAGGCCACGACCGGTACTCCAGCCGAGCAGAACAGCAATTCCCCCGCCCCACCCCAACACGATCTCGGAGAAGCAACAACCGCTCATGCACACCACGAGCCCAGCAACAATATTTTTTTCCCTGGCCAAGCCGTGGCCGGTACTCTAGCCGAGTAGAATAGCAATCCCCCTGCCCCACCGGTGCCATCACCACCAGCACGGTGCCCGCGGCACTCACCTGAGGGTACCAACGCCATGGGGGCAACTGGTGGCGGGGGGCCCTGATGCAGCACTTCACATACCCTAGGGGCAACACATCACATGCCAGCCAATCGAATGTACTAGGCTTGGGAACGCTTTGGGCGTACATTCTGCCTGCGTGATGGACAACAACGATTTGAAAGGGCATATGGATGTGCCATATGGGCGACCAGCGTGCACTGCCGAATCCATTAAAGACCCAGGCAATCACACCCCACGTCCGCCATGCATACCCGTTGCACACTCAACCAGGCGTCTGGCCGTCCGGTCCGGGAATGAGACCCGCTCTGTGGCTGTTATCCATCACCTTTGCCAAAGTACAGGCCTCTGGGATTGCCCATCTTACAAAATTTCAATGGAACGGCGTTGGAATTTTTGTACTTGTGTTTAGCGCATTTTATAGATCTGTGTTGCTCCATAAACTTTGATGGAATTCTGTCGACCTCTGTGGTCCGGTCAGCGGTTCCGTTACTGGGGGCCTGTCCTCCGTTGACGCCGGCAAGGATTCCGTAACACGTGTTTCATTCTGGAAGGTTGTGTGGATTTCTGTAGCCGTCTATGCTGACATCAGCATGGCCCTGCCCATTTCTGTTAGACAGTTTTTCTCTCTGTGGCCCGCTCACGGATTCCGTTGACTGTACGGAATTTTAACAGAGCCAACCAAATTCTGTTGTGGACGGATAGAAGGGGCCACGTCTAGTATAAGCTCGTTGGGGTATCATTACCATATCTTGGGCAGGGCGTCCTCTACACCAAGGAGCCAATAGTAGGGCGTCCCCCACATCAGACCACTGTGCTTAACACCATCGAAGCTGCCCTAGAAATTTGGTCACATCTGATATGAATACGATATTATATTGATATGTTAATGCTATAGCCCCGAGTGGTTTCGCCACAGTACCTCTATGGAGTGGGTAGTGTTTAGAGGTTGGTAGGTAATATGTCATCATAACTATTGTCCGACACAAAATACAATGGGTGCAGGAATGTGGTATTCTTGAAGGAAACGCCATTAATGCGATTCAAACAGCCCTCCTTTGCAGTGCACATAGGAAGCGCAAGTCCACGATCACCGATGCTTCAACAGCATTGGCACAAGGCCAGACGCAAGGCTACACCACACACAAAATGCCCGGGGCTTACATATTTGTTCACCCTTGCCACAACGAAGAGCCTTGCTGATGGTGGCAACTACCCCTTCAACCGAACAGCTCGAATCTTCTTGCACCCAAGAAGCTCTTCTTTTCATATGACAACAATTATTATCCATCAACAACAGTTATTCGACACTTCAAAGATGCCCACTCATCACCACAATAATTAAGTGAATCCTAAAACACATTTTTCTTTTCTTTTTATAGTTTCAGAATGCCTTGTATATAAACCATATTCTTGACGTGTATACAAGTCGCACACCATAATGCATAAATGATCCACCTAGTGAACTAGTGGTCATTATGCTGTGTTGCAAACAATATGGTATTGACTTGATCTATAGCACGTTCCGCAAATTTAAACAACCTGACATATTGACCATGTTTAGAACGTTGTGTCAGGTGATTTGCAAATGCATCCTACATCAGTGTCAATAACGTATTCTCACATTTTCTTTATTCATGAATCGTGCACCATGGCTTTTGATGTGCACACCCTGGGAGCAATTCGAACACTGCAAGTCAGTGTTTCTTGCCCAAATGGAGTGATACTAGTTCTTGCATCAATTGCAGACAATGCTCCACACACATCGTGGTGTCATATGGCTAGCCTTCTGATGCAGTAACGAATATTACCATCTTGCATGCCATTGACAATGATTGACAATGTTTCTTTGCGATGTACTGTAACATTTTGGTGCCTGCGGGAGCTCCGATGACCACTTCCATAAACCTTCTCATGAAAATGTGTTTTGCATGCATTTATTCTCAGGTGGGTATGCATATAGTTTTAGAGACCAGCTGGTCTTGGAGATGTTCATAGTATGAACTTCATACTACATCTCGTGCAACAATTTCCTGGCGATGCTGGGGGCCGCATTGTGCATATGCAAATGCACAAATATCTGCACATGGGTTCTGTGATTAAGAAATTGATGAGACACATAACAGGCATGTTTCATGCTGAGGTGGTCGATTTCTGACGATTTTCAATGCTGCTCATGAATTGGTTTTCAGGTTGTATATTATCTGTGCTTTGACGGCTGCAGTTTGTGTGCACTGCGTATTGCATGTGAAGGACAGCCGCTTTTGAGCATAAGAGCTCGTCCAATGATGGCTCGTCTAATGATTGTGTGAGGACATTGCGATTTGGGGCATAGCTGGCGCCAATTCTGCGATTGACGGGTTGGATTAATGGGTGGATTTTGTGATGGAAAACCCGTGATGGAAACCATTTCTCAGACCAGTGGCAATCTGGGGTATATAACGAGAATCCGCATCCACTTGAGGACACCGGCCAGGAAGAATTTCCGTTCACAAGTTCCTGGTTAGGGGCGCTGGCGATGTGGGAGGCATTCTTTGTGGTGATGGTTGCCCTTTATGCTGCTGGCAGTTGGCCCGCAGACGGTGTTCGGACATCTTTAGGATGTCAAACTAACACCTCATGGACTGGGTCCGAGTGTACTCCTTTCTGCTGACAATGCAAGCTTATAGTGCATAGATTGATTTCGGGCTGACGATATAATCCTATTAAAAAGACTACGATTCAGCAAGTGGAGCACCGATTGGACGTTACCTGCTCCAAGCAAGTTGCTCAACCAAAAGGGCTACGTCAGGTGCCACCCGACAGCTGCCGCCTCCAACTGAGTCGCACCCACTGAACGAACGAATGAATGAATGGAAAGAATGCCGTCCAAAACCACAACGCCACCGCCCTGCGAGGAACATATCTGTGACCACAAGGAATCCAAAAATGGAACCAGACCCGATAAACGGCGCCCGGAGGCTAGGCCGGAACCTTGCCCGCAAAGCGGGGCGAGTTTCCGTAGACAGTCTCCTCGAATCGTCCGACCTCGCCAACTGAGCCGAAGCAGACCTCGGACCTCTGGTCGTAGGTGTTGATGTCGATGTCCAGCGCCGACACCAGCTTGCCGTCGCAGCTACTGGCGCCTCCGGCGTTCTCCACCTGTGCACAGCCAGCGATGCGCGAGACTGCAGTATTGGCATCAGATGCACAAACAAGTCGTTTGCTGGAGCTTGCTGCAAGTGACAGTTGCAGATATGCCGCAAGTGGAGCGGCACATGGGGCATTCTTTCCATATTTGGTGACGACTTGCCAATCTGGAGACAACTTGGAGATCAGCATCCAAACTAGTGTGGGAACGCTACACAGCAGGCAAGTGCACAGTTCCCCAAAAGACATATGCCAGGGCAGTAACAAACTACTTCCATGGCCACCCAGCCACTGTTGCTTCTGCACTTGTGGGATTCTGACCACCTCAGGCACCAGAAGGGCATTTATGTCCAGATGGACAGTGCAGCGTCGCCTGCAACAGCTTGCAAATAAAGGGATCTGAAAATAGCAATGCAATTCCAAGCAAACAAATTTTTTTCTGATCTGGCAACGGAGAGGTAGAGGGTAAGGCAACAAGCAGCAGCCACGTTCCCAGCTGTTCCACCATTTGGGAAGGTCCTATCGCTGCAAAGGTAGGAACTAGTCTATCTGAGTACACTGAGCAATCCGACAACAGAATGAAGTAAATGCCGTGTAAAATAAAAATTATGTAATAATACTAAAAAATAATAATCATATTAATAAATACTAAATAATGTTAATAAACATTGTATTGGACTTACCAAGAGAGCAAGGGGGGCAACCTCAAAGAGGATGCGCAGCTTGGCCTTCGTGGTGGGTGAAGTGACATTGCAGAAGACACCTTTCTCCTTGACAATAATCTGGAAAACATCTGGCACCATGCCGCCTGTGTACCGGAGGGTGTACTGCTCCCCAACGTAGTAGTTGATGAGCTTCTCGTAGTTGGGGTTGTCGAAAGTAGCACGAAGGTTGCCAGGGGCAAAAAGCTTTCCTTCACCTGTTGCACATGGGCAATGACAATGCTGTGTGCTCTGCTTTTGTGTACTCAGAGTCTCCCACGTCATCTACACAGATTGGAGCTAAGCCTCAAAGATCCTGAACAGGATACGAATAGCCAACGCGCAGCGCAGTGCCTTCCATCTGTCAGAAGGGTCATCGTCAGAAACAGCACCAAAGACAAGAATTGTGGCCAGGAAAGGTATTGTACTGATACTCGTTGCAGCAACCAATGCTGTGGCCAAAAGAGGTAATTCCAAAGCAGGGGAACAACAGTTGTGGTGCAAGAACGAACTAGCACTTACAATTTACACCAAAAAAGACCCGCTGGTTGCTCGTGCAGCATCAGTTGCTTGCCGTCACACAGGGACCTCACAATGCTTGCCAAAAATAACGCTCCAAGACCCATGTCATAAGAGTAGACTACTGTAAAATATCATACCCTTCCGCATAGTAACGTCACAACGTAACGCTTGGTCCTCTTATGGAGAAATTATACAAATATTAATGCAAATCTGGGCATTTCTGTGCGGTGCAACGTAAGAGAATTAAAATACCGCTCGGAAAAAATGCAGAGCAAAATGCAAAATGGTGAAATGCTCTGATGCGGAAGGGTTGAACAATTTACAGTGAATACTGGTGACAGAGAAGAACGGGTCCCTCACTGCCTTGCAGGTGTTAGGTTTGGCCAATGTAATCAATGCAGAAATCAGTTTGCCTGCTTGGCAAGTTTCTAGGTGGCAAACCCACCCCATTGTGCTTTCCCAGGAGAACTTGGGTGTGCCAGCATTGCAAAAGTTCCGATCCATGCAAATCACGAAAGCTACAGCTGGGGGAGACAACAGATGTAGGGTCATGGACAATACAACAGATGGCAGCTGGGCGCACCAATTTCCTCCGTCTCCTTCACATGAAGCCACTTGCCGTCCCCTTGCAGAAGAAACTCATGGGTCCCAGGGTAGCCTTTGATCGCAATGCAATACACAGTTCGGGGGCCATACACGCCCATGCCAGCAGCAGCCTGTGGACATTGGAAACATGGTGAGGACTGGCTGAGTCAGGGACAAACTCTTGTCACAGCTAATGGCACCCAAAATTGCCCAATGAAGGGCACCATATTTCACTCTGCATTACATATGAATGTGTGAACGTCATGATCTGATCCTGCATACAATAGACAATGTGTGTGACATAAAGCAATTACAATTTTCCATGAGGAAATACCTGGTCGATCAAGGTGAAGCGCTCAATAGGACCTGGGATCGCAACATTGCAAACCAAAACAGCAAAAAGCACAAAATGAAAACAAAAACACAAAAGCAACTAAAATGCACAATCCATCTCTCAGATATTTCATTTCAAACAGAATATGTTCAAACCAAACGTGGTTCAATGTTGTTCAGATTTGAAGCAGGTTGTCCTTGAAACTCGATCTACAAACACACCATGTCCGATCCTCTTATGCCCTTGAGCTCAGACCCGGGCCACACTCCAAATATAGTGCCAACGGCAAAGTTGGTGTCCACGATGGAGCTCCCATCCAAAGGATCAAAGGCAACACTGTATCCCGTCCCTGCAACAGAAAGAGCAGCAGCATCTCACCACATGGGCTTGGGACAGTTCGTCCAACGATGTTCTACCATGCACTGTGAGTATGGCAGAGCCCAAAGATATCAACATTTTGATACGACGCACCATGATAGTGAATTACGAAAGCGATGTGGAAGCTTTTGATGTCCATAGCTCTGACTTACCCTTCATGGGCACTGGCTCTGGTACTTCCTCAGAACATGCATTCTCGCAGACATGCTGCACAACACAAAAGGTTGAGCTCAACCGCTGTCCTGGGCACTGTGCCAGATGCACACCATTCCTTTCTTTGCAGCTCTTAAGATAATGACCGACCATCTGCAAGTCCACTGGTAATACTCCTGGTTTTGCTCACTATTCACAAACTGCAGGCGTACCATTGGAAGGTTTCGCAGCAGTGTGAATGCCATTGTGTCAATGCACTTGTGTACACTTGAATGCATTGCCAACTAGCTGTCAACAGGTGGATCTGGTGAACCCTTCTTGGCCATATGTGCGACTGATCTGGGGCCAAATCTCAGAAGCGCACCGAGAATTCAAGAGCCTCAAACAGCAGCTTGTCTGCCACCATGTCCACTGCCAGCTGCTCATCCCCAAAGGAGTTGATGCAAGCAGTACCCGCACAAGAGGCAGTGCGGACCTGTCAGGCACAACAAGCTGTCAGCCAACCATGTCACCATAATGTCCTGAGAAGAGCAACAGCTGTTACAGAGTGAAGAGCCATCGTCAAGGACATCAGCATGGTCCAGATGAGACATGCTTGGTACATTTGCTTGGTACGTTTTCTTGCATTTTCTCTGCAAGTGGATCGCAACGCAGATCCCAGAAACTCGATGCCATGAACATGTAGAAAACCATTTGGTTACAAAGCTCCTTTAAAAAGCTGCAATGATCCCTGTGCAAGTTGGCGTTCGCGATCAGCTGAGAACACGGGTAGAATCTACCGATCTGCACTGCACTGTGAGTGATGCCATGGCCAGATAGTCCTGAACTACCTTCACAGAGATCGTCCTGATGGCTTCCGACATAGACATCATCAGCTGGCGGAGCTTTGGGTCGTCTGTAGCCCCCATTAGAAACTCCTCCAGCGAGTCCCCGAGCTGGTAGGCACAGAGCAGCCGAATCCCCTCAGTCCATCCAGCGTGTACGTCCGAGTTGGCCCACAGAAAGTTCACTGCCGTTTGCGGGCGCACGTAATTGGGAGCAACAGCATTCTGCATGGCTGGACAGCGTGCTCGCACGCAAGCGCATCACTTTGACGAGCTGAAGCGCGCGATTGGCAATCAAAGCGAGCAGCGCCAACGGCGGGAGAGACAATATACACTGAAATACATTGGGGGCGCACCGAAGCACCTCACCGCAGATCGCGTCTGCAGCGCCCCCCTGGCGCATTTCTGCGATCCCGTCCTGGTGCTCAGGCCCTGCACGTCGCCGAAGAACGCGCTCCTGGCCTTCTGCCCTCGGCATGGCGCCGCCCGCCCACCGGCCTGCGTTGGCAAATCAAGCACCCTCAGCTCACCGCCAATGCGCACCCACACGAAATCTCGTGCCCAGTCCCGATGTTCGAGAACGCCCATGCGCGTGCGCCTGCGCTGATGGCATCTTGGAAACGAGGACACCCCAACGAAGGGTGTCCAATCAAGAGAAAGGAGTCGATGCCAGGCAATGCGCACCACTTGCCCATTGTCAAGAAGACAGTGAAGCGTCGTTTGCGCAAAAGGCGTAAACGTTTGTTCAGCAGAGACATGAACGAACGAGGGCCATCGAGACATTCGCGCACAACTCCCTGATCGCCAAAAACGTGCAGGGCTCGCCCATTTCCTCTCAGGAAGAACAGCAATCCATGCAATTGCGCAGCAAAAACACCGCCCCAAGCGCCAGTAAGGGCACACCCAATTCTAAACACGCCGAGAGGAGGGAGCGCGAGCGCCCTCGAGCATCGGCCCTGCCCTGCGCTTCCCAAACCCGCCAGCCGCCGCGGTTTGGCAGAATTGACGATCGCGCTTGCTTGCCCCGCATCCGCACCTTTTGGGTCGCGGGCGTCCTGACAGTCGGCGCCGCCAGGCGCGCCACGGTGGGGCCATCGACGGGCAGGAGGGCGGCCATTGCGGGTGGCGGGAACGGGGCCCAGTCACGGAGGCGAGGGGGCGAGGGACGGGCGGCGAGGGGAGGCGGAGGGCGGTCGGCCTTGGCGCTGGTTGGGTGAGGATGGGTGTGGCGGGTCGGCAGGCTGACGTGGAAAAAGGGCGCAGCGCCAGCCGCGTATCTTGGAACCGGGGGCGGTGGTTGCCTCGCAGCGGCTGAAGGCTGAACCCGCTGACTTTTGGGAGTTTCTATGGTGTATGCTTCCACGGAGAGTGTGCGTTGTGTTGGGCGGTAGGGGCGGCTGAGCACAAGTGCTGTCTATTTTGCAGGAACTGCGTTCGCACTTGGATGGGGTGCCATAAGCCCCCAAGCCAACCAGGGCCGCCAGGTCTGCGTTTTACCACAAGGACTCCAATCTATTTCGAGACGTGCTGCGCTTCAAGGCAATGAGGCAGCCAGCTTCGAGCCGCTGCAGTTTCGGCGAAGGACAGCGGCAGGGTACATCGCCGACCCCACAAACCCCAGGACTGATGCGTCTTGCAAGTCAGAGGAGACCAGACCAGCATTCCTTATCCAGCGCCGGTGCTGGGGGGTGCACCCCCCAAGGCACACAATTACTCCCCGTTCTTGTTTGCTGAATTTCGGTTCTTGTTTTCGGACACCCTAAACCCCAACTACTGATCCACGCACCTAACTGGCCTTGTCAGCGGAACAAGAACCGAAATTCAGCAAACAAGAACGGGGAGTAGTACATTCTCACCCCCCCAAACACCGGACAGGGAGGAGAGATCGTGCGCCCAACAGATCGCCGCCTCATCTTGCCACGTCACGGATCCGGCCACCACCAGAGCACCAGAGGCCCCAGCTGTTGACGGGGACTCCAGGCCCGCCCCAGGCACAGCGCAGCCCGTCCGAGTCGTTCTCCCCCCCCCCTTCTCCCCTGTACCCACGGCTCCTCCCCATGGCCTCTCTCACCCAAAGCTCCCTTGCCGGGTAGGAATTAAATGCTGGCGTCCCAAGGGCAGATCATGGCCTGGGGAGGAATCGGGGTGGTTTGGCGTCGTTGCTGACGTTCGTTCTGTGGCCCCACAGGACGCGGCTGCAGGGCGCCGCGCAGAAGGGCTCCGGGCGCGCGGCGCGCACCGCGATGGTGTGCCAGGCTACAAGCGAGAGGTCGTCGAGGCGGGAAGTGCGTGCGGAGGGCCTGTGCTGTCACATGACCGCGCAGCATTCTTTGTGTGTCGGAGTGTTTTACACGAATCGAGCCACCTGGATCGCACAACATGCTCCTGGGTGTCCCTTCCGTCGGTTTTATTGGATGTGCCTCTGGCCCATCGTGGACGGCAGTAAACCGCCTTGGATTGTGATCATTGAACGCCACGGACTCCTGTTGAAGCAACCATGTGCCACCTTGCGTCGATCACGGCCGCCCTGTGGTCAGAATGTTGCCTTCACACATGGTATCTTTTGAGCGGCTTTCTTGACGGCGTTACTGACTCGCTGTTGCCGCTGCAGTTGCTCGGAATTGGGATCCTGCTCGGCGCCGCTGCTCTGGCTCCCGCCGCGAAGGCCGGCATCGTGAGTGCGGCAAAATCTGGATCGCTGATCCTGTGTCAGTGCGCTGACTGGCGGGTCCTATTTTGCATGCGCAGACTTACATCCCTCGCCGTCGGACCTCGCCCGGAGTTAGTTGCATGTCGATGTGGTCGGTCCCCAGGGTCCAGAATCTGAATGGAAAGGGGTTGCCGAGAAGTTTAGAACCGTGCCTTGCAACACAGGCAGCGTCTTTGGAACAACGATGCTGTGCAGGTTCTTGCGTGTTTAAGGACAGTGGAGAGAAAGGGGCCTGTAGAAATGGCAAGCTGAATTGTTGCATGCTTGTTTCCCTACACATGCAGCTCCTTTGAAGCAGCATCGCTACAAACATGATACATGCTAGCGTATGGATAAACCCAGCACAAGAACCTTCTCTCACAAGTGTTTGAGTATTGTTCCAATGCTGTCCAAGACCCAGAACTGGAGGAGAAAATGCCGAGATTCTGTTAGTCTGCATAGGTTGAGGAGCTGCTGGAGAAATCCACAAAGAATAAGGAGCTGAACGACAAGAAGCGGCTTTACACCAGCTATGCCAACCTTGCCAGGTCACGGTGAGTATTTGGACACTCAAAAGTGGTTCCACCATGCCATTGCAGTGATTCTGCAAAATCGCACAGCTCTTGGCCAAACAGCCCCTTGTTCCATTAAAACCTGATCTGTAGGCTTGGCATCAACTGTTGCCCAAAGAAATCTCCAGCACAGGGGATGGCGAAGGGATTCATTCAAAGTTCCATTATCCCTTGCTGCATTGGGTCCAGTTTGTGTGCCAACCTTGCCAGGTCGCAGTGAGTATTTGGACACTCAAGAGTAGTTCCACCATGCCATTGCAGTGATTCTGCAAAATCGCACAGCTCTTGGCCAAACAGTCCCTTGTTCCATTAAAACCTGATGTGTAGGCTTGGCATCAACTGTTGCCCAAAGAAATCTCCAGCACAGGGGATGGCGAAGGGATTCATTCAAAGTTCCATTATCCCTTGCTGCATTGGGTCCAGTTTGTGTGCCAACCTTGCCAGGTCGCAGTGAGTATTTGGACACTCAAGAGTAGTTCCACCATGCCATTGCAGTGATTCTGCAAAATCGCACAGCTCTTGGCCAAACAGTCCCTTGTTCCATTAAAACCTGATGTGTAGGCTTGGCATCAACTGTTGCCCAAAGAAATCTCCAGCACAGGGGATGGCAAAGGGATTCATTCAAAGTTCCATTATCCCCTGCTGCATTGGGTCCAGTTTGTGGGCTAATACAGTGTCTAGGTGTCAAGGTGCAAAGGTGAAACTGACAAGCTGCCAGACTCTTGTGTGTCACTTCGAAGTTGGCGTTTATGTTGCAGCCCAGCCAAGCGGAGTGCAGTTTGTGTTTTTGGCACCCGTGGCAGCCTCCACCAAAGAGATGTTGGTAAAATTCCCTATCCTTGATGTGAAATGGGATTTTGCGTCCCCAGATCCTCACCCATATCCAAGTTATCAAGTAGGACATATGCGCCATATCCTGGATGTGCACGTTCCAACTCCTGGATATAGTGGCAGGATATGGCCATATGCAGGATATGAGCACCTACATATCCTATAGATGGCAATATCTTGGATACACAACAAGAGTTCAA